GAACGGTAGCCACCCACGGGGGAAGTGTTATACATTTATAATAGATACATTTTGAGCCACAACAAGGCGTGGCGGGGTCTGCTAGTTGTACGATATAACGAATAAAATATCTAATTATTCTTAATATAATGTTTTACTATATCGCCCAGAAAATTGTTTTTGCCCCCCAAAATATAAATTGTTACTAATCGCCCCCCTCAACATGGAAAAACGCCCACATGGGGGCGATATCGCCCCCGTTGAAGAAACACATACTATTTTTATTACATAATGCTTAATCCTTACTCTAGTATTTCGTGTAACATTACGTAATTACTAATATAAAATCAGCGTTCAACTCAGTGACGAATTATTCTCGTGCACCATTAATTAACGTCATAAACTCATTAATATTTTAATATATACACGAATCAGAGTTGCCGAAAATCGGCAACTTTGAAACACGCCGTGACGTCAGACCCTTGCTCGGGGACTCGGAATTGAATGTGGGCAAATTGAAACGCGCGCCATCTGCCAGCCGTAAATATAAACAGCTACTACAGTAGGTAGGCCACGTGCCAGTAGTCGAAAATGGCGTCTGCCGGGATAGGTTTGTAATATCAAACTTTCTAAGTTTGCTTATCATCATATCGCAAATGAAAAAGCTCAGAAACGAAGAATTTGGATAGGAAAAATATTCTAAATCGTTGAAAGTGGGGAATATCGAATACTTTCGTAACTGAATTACCATTACGCCATTCAGAATAGTTTACGCGGTAAGTAAGTCTATTTGACATTAATATTTAAATCCGATAGTAATATAGCGTATAAATGAAATATATTAGCGTATTAGTATATAAATAAAGTTTTTTATATTTCGAATGCCATCATCCCACGTGATCTTTATGACGACATTGCCAAACGGCCTTCCTATTGGTCTAATTTTTATCATTCCGCTTTCAAAATGGCAAAAGTGACGCCATTTTTTAAGTTTTAAAAACACTGACAATAGCTCATAGTTAAAATTTTGTGTGGCGCCATCTGTTATGGGATATTAAAAAATAACTTTTATATTATTAATTATTATAAAAATACAAAAAAAACGCGTAATTTTTGAGGGTAGAGATAAGTTTTTAAAAATATTGTAAATGCTAATAACGTAAAATTTTCATTAAGTTCGACCCCACCCGAGATATGATACGTGACCCCCTCGACCTTTAACCACCAAAATTTAATAGCATCAATGCATTACAGTAGACCCCCTATAACACTGTAGATAATTCCGTGTTATATGAATTCCATGTTGTACGAATCACTTAGATTTTACAAATACGTGTGCCGGGCTGTGAACGGCTCACGTATTTGTAAAATCTAAGTGATTCGTACAACATGGAATTCATATAACACGGAATTATCTACAGTGTTATAGGGGGTCTACTGTAATGCATTGATGCTATTAAATTTTGGTGGTTAAAGGTCGAGGGGGTCACGTATCATANTGTAATTAAGAAACGAAATAGACACTAACAAACATATACATGGAATTTTTTTTCTTTTTTCACTTTTTTGGATTCAGGGTGTCTCAAAACATCGAGATTTTCAAACTCCCGGAAGATCAAAAATTACAATAAGCGGGAAAGTAAAACAGTGTTTATTGGAGCTTGAAAATCTTAGACTATTATAAGAGATTAATAGTCCCATAATAAGAAAAGATTGTATTGTATTGGTTAATTAATGCACGAGATGATCGAGTGATAAAATGTCGCATTACAATCGTAAACGAAACGGGTTCGAAATGGATTTGGATCCACACGAGTAACTCTAGTCGGAATGTCGTTTTCCATTCACATTCATGTTATTCGATTCTTTGGTAAATCAGGCCCGTAATGATAAAATGAAAACTGGTTTTTACACGCTGCTTCCACATATAAAATCAACCAACTAGTAAATGTAGAAATTGTTTAGATTAGTTTACTTTTTAACTCAAACAGAAATTTTCTAGTAAATTTATTTAAGTTTAGGAAATGGTAAACTTTTCGTATACACTTTTAAATTTTCATTAATTAAAGTTACGGAAGAAATTTTATTATTAGTAACTGGGCACTGGAGGGATTTCCCCAATCCATCAAAGATTTGGCCATGCCCGAACTTTTTGCCAACGTTACGGATACAATTGCAATTTCAAATCGTCCAGCTAGCGTTAATATTATCAGACCAACCAATAGACTTTTCCATAGCGGGAAGGGAAGGAGAAAGAGGAAAGCAATAGTTTACGGATTAATCCTTATAACCCACTTAATACGACAGCCGCTCTTTCCTTATTGCCGGACATTTACCCCTTCCTACAGCCTTGGAGTAATCGGGTGGTGACGGACATAGACCAACATATCCGGAACAGACTGCTCGTTTTGGGTTTTTGCCTGCCGGATTCGAACCCGGACTCACCAGAGTCGTAACCGCCTGGTCATCCGGTCGCAAATTATTTTTAATTTTTCTGTCGTATGGAAGAAAGAAATTTTGACATTGTTTTTTCATGCCAAAATTTAATTCTAATATTTAAAATAACGTTTTAAAATTTAATTATTATTATTATTTTTTTGTCATATACATTATTTCAACATCAAAAATATAATTCACTACTGTGACAAAACATAGAAGAGTGAAACGAATACCCTATTATTACATATCGTACGTAATTGTTATTTATTATATGATGTGTGATATGAATCGCTAGATTTTAATATCATTTTTATGAATTGAACGTTTCATGGAAGAGACGTCCACTAAAGAATGTTGCACTCGAGAGAGCAGTGCCCTCTGGAAGATAACACATGAATGACGCGACAATAAAATAAAATAAAACTAATATTCTATATGCAGTTTGTATAAAAATAAAAATACAAAATAATTATTTTATTTTATGATTTTTTTTTTAAAAAAAGAAAGCAAATTNGTTATCAAAATTTTCACTTAATCAACTTTATTTAATTAATCTGTTTAAAGAAGTTCCAAAAACTTCTAAAAGCTGCAAGAAAGTTTTTATCTTTTGAATTTAAAGAAGACAAAACATATGTAAAACATATAAAATTTTCTTGTTGGATTTTATTTTTTTTTTTTTTTTTTAATTTTTTTTTCTCGAAATATAAATGAAATAATTCTTTTAAAATTATTAATTTAAATTTTAAAATATTGATTATTCTTCAAGGATTGACGATTAAAGCCTTGAAATTCTTGAAAGTATCTCTATTATAAAGAAAACAATTAGAATAATAAGAGCAATGTCGATCAATTTGTAAAGAGAAAATTACCTTTAGGATTCAAATACATCGATAAATGCTTAATAATTTACCTATTATAATTTCGGCAATGTATTTAATTTAATAATAAATTAAATAAAAACAAGTTTGAATTTCAAGTTGTAAATATTAAATTTAAACAATACGAAATTACAAAATAATGATTTAATTTTCGAATAGAATTGTAATTATTAATGCAATAATTAAAAATTTCTTGAAAGCATTTCAAGGCCTTAAAAGTAAAAGAAAATCCTGTTGAAGAATGCTTTGATATTTCTTTTTTATTCTTCAAACTGATGTTACCATGAAACAATTTTTCTTCGATTTAAAAGAAATTATTGTTAATTTTTTGTATAAATGTAACTGAAAAGAAGTAAAAAATCTTAATTATAATTTTAATGTCACCTTTTTTGTGTATTTACCTCACAAGGTCAGTGGGAGTCCGACAGACTTACCTTGCCCTGTCAAGGTTTTAAAATGTATAGTACTTCTTTAAATGAATTAAACAACTTGAAATTACCCTGGAGTGAACTATAGTGTAGACTTTTATAGACTTGAAGACAAATAAAACTAAAACTACTGACAATACGTGCATGTAAATTTATGATAAAATCATTATTAAGATGCATAAGGGGTATCTAAAACTTTGGCAGGTGTACTAAAATTCCTTGAAGGAAATCATTAAAATCATTTGCCATCTAACAAGTGACTTTTGATTATTTTTATATACTTTATAATGTTTCAGGTTATTATTTTCCGTTTTTAATATAGATAAATTGAAGATTATGCCACGATATTTTAATAACTTTTTTAATACTTTTAAATATAAAAAAAAAAACACACAAATGTATTTAGAAAAACACATAATTTTCCACGACACAAAGCTAAATTTCTTGTTTAATTAACTGAATCATAAGTCGAATCGTCACCATCCAGCTGACCAGTTCCGTAACCGTCATCTCCGCCATCACGAGTAAGATGGAAGCAAACATCTTGTTGCATTCTGTTGTCACTCTGGTTGGGAACACTTTCGTACAAATGACCACAATAAGAGAATTCGCTGACACTTTCCGTGGCCGAAAAATCACATTTTTTTCTACTGGAAACGGTAAACTTTGGTCTATGCAAATTCCAAAAGCGACTAAAGAAATTACTAGATTTTGAAGTGAAAGAAGAACCCTTAGAAGAAACGGAATTGATAGTATTCGATCTCATAGCCGAATCGCTATCATCAAAATTGGTAGTGATACAAGTCTTGGGAATTGGAAGAGGAGGTAGCTTTCCTCCTCTACTGGAATTGCTACCCACGGAAGATTTCCAACGCTTTTCTTTAGGCGTTTGAGGCACTACGTGATAAGCCACTTTTATCTGCCTTCTCCACCGTTCACCTTCGTCAAGACAATACTGAAGCATTCGACCAAAATGTTTAGTTTGCCTATAATGAAGGTCGTCGATAGATCGACGGAAATTGAAATCCGAATCTACGTCGATCTCCAACAGTACGGGTTTCTTGCCTCTGAAGGTACATCCCAAGATAACGTGTTGCTCAATTATTTCTTCGAGTCTGAGAAAACCAGTAAAATGATAAGGCACTTCGGGTCTACTACCCGAAACGATTCTAACTGTTGCAGGCAGTTTTAGTGTCTTAGACCTTAAAAGATTAGATACCATAAAGACATGATTCACTGAGTGAGTGCCCTGTTTGGCTACGGCGTAGAATTTGCCACAGGTAAGGAACGGAAGATAAATAATGCCTTCACGAGGAGAGAAACACCTGGCATATCTGGTATGTATCCTGCTGGAAGCGGCCGATCTGACGCTGGTATCTTCGTATACACCTAGAAATTGAAGTACCTGACCAGACATCACCTAAAACGAAAAGTATACAATTATAAACAATCCATTTTTTTTCCGGAAAATATGTGTTTATACACATATTACAATCGTACTTACACTAGTTTTTTCGTAAACGCTTTTCTTCCCATGTCTATGCGAGGGCGTTTCTACTAATTTGTAAGCGACGATATTTTCTCTTAAAAGAAAGTATGGTATTTCAGATCTCGCCACCTGCTCCACAGTCGAAAAGTAGCCAGCCGTGTGTCCATCATCCGTTACGGTAGCTATCCACCCTATAGCATTAAAACCAGTTTAATTACTTTCAGTTTCCTTAAAATAGACTACAAAATTATACTTTTTATTCGCAAATTTACTAAGGAAATGATAAAGTTTCTTAAGAAGAATTAATTCCGCTTCTAAAAAATAATGAAGGAAAAAAAATTAAAATTCAAAAAATAAAAAAAAAACGGTTTGATTGGGAAGTGATCGCGTACCAGTTCCACGCTAGATCAGTTGAATTTCTTTTTTCTAATTTTATTTAATTTCTTTTTTTATACGGTAGCTCGAAGTTAACAGTTTGCATTGATCGAATAAGTCTTCATCAATCAACCTAAAATATACTTCACCCTCTTTTTGTTTGTGTTCACCGACCTTTAGGTTCGTTGCCATTGATAAAGGGGCGGAATAAGCTCATTGTTATATAACATGAATTTTCTTTTTTTCTCCCTCCTCCTATTCTTTTATTAATAGGCAATCTAATTGGCAGATAGCATCTCACTTAAAAATTACTCGCTTCGCTAGCTTTTTTTTTTTCATCAACACGTGGATCTTTCCTGTTTTAATCTAAGCTTTATCAATCAATTATATATCTCGATTGAGTCAATTTTGATTTAATACCAAAACAATTACTCCCATTATCTCGCATTGTGTTTGTATCCGCTAAACAATTCCCGTTTTCTAAGTCTTTCATACAATTGAAAGCTTCGATAGCGGCGCCATCTCACTCAGTTCTTATATCCCGTTTTTTAACGTTTTCTCGAAATTTATTATACAGGGAATCGAGGGATGTTGAGGAGTAGAAGGGAAGTCGTTCACCCTTATCCTCATGTGAGGCTCGGGCACCAACGAGGCGCGGTATGAGTGGCACGCGTAATGGTATCTTTTTTTTAAAAAAAAAAAACGTGACGAGATGTGGTGAAAAAATGAAAACGATTAACCAAAAATTCGCTAATAACCCGTTGGGCACTTTACACGAACAAGAAGTTAATTTCTAGGCTGCTATTGTTCCATTCTCTTGTAACTGCCAAGAGAAATTTTTACGACCTGCTTCCATTCTGGTTCCATCTTACTGAGCTATGGAATCTTCTCTACCGGATTTCTAAGGTCGTTAACAGTTTACCAAGTTTATATTAAATTTGTCTTTACTTCTAACAAAACGAGCCGAGAAAGAATTTATATTTTACAAGGTAGTAGTGAAAGTTCCTTCCTCTTCGGGTCATAAACATCGTTACGTCATACGGAAAGAAACAATGGGTTGTTAAACGGTGTCCCTCACGTTGTTGTAAACACTTGTCACGAGCTTTCATTTTACTTTCGTGATGAGTATACCGCACCCCGACCGAAAACTTCCGGGAATACAAAACGCTTAGCACTTTTTTTTTGTTTGTTCCTTTCACAAAATGAAGCTCTTAAACGCATGCAACCCTTGGAAAAAAAGAAGTAATTTTTGAAGAATGCAAACGAAAATTTCCTAGTGGAAGAAGTGAGTTTTTGTACTTTTCTTACAGATTTTATTAATATAAAAATTATTATTCATGAAGCATAATAGTTTATGTAATTACGAGTAAATAATGAATTACGTTTTTGCATATTAGGGCAAGAAAATCTTGTTTTCATTGTTCTAGAATTCGAAACAAAAATTCTTAAATATGGATTCCTTTTATATCTTTTACAAGAAGAATTTTGATCTGGCCAACAGTACACTGAACTCATTGTTTCATACAATTGTTTGGTGGCGAGCGGGTAATACACCTCCCGTTGTCACGTGTCAATGACGTTTCTGTCACGCCTCTCATGGGATTTTCTTACGGTCAATGTCACTGACCTATGGCGAGACTCGGGTATAATTATATATCTCTTTCTGGTGTCAGCCCGAGTACAAAAAGAATACAACCATCGCACATTGCCAGCGTTGTTGTTGTATTGCCACGTAGGAGGACTCGGTGATTACACGTCCGAGACGAGATAAGGACAACACGAGCCGATAGGGTGGGAGGTGACGGGCCTATATTATTATTTAAAAAATCCCAAGAAAAATCACGAGATGTAATTTTTTTTTTCTTTTGTTTTATTCTGGTAAAATAGCAGTTAGAGTTTGCTAAACACAGTTCTTTCCATTTCGATATCAGATAGTTTGCTACTATTAACAACGACGTCTGATGATGTAAACTGATGGTTCTTTCGTACGTAATAATACGGCCAAACAACTGGAATAAACACCTGGTTAACACACGAAATTCCTTTATCTTCGAGTGCTTCTCAGCCCTTTTTTTTTTTTACTCTCGAGTATCCACGCCTGACAGATCGATTCATCTCGATAAACCCTGACCAAAAAAATACACCTGATCATAAAACACTTTAGGGCTTGTAATAATTAAATTCATCCGCAGAAAAACCAAACCAACCCCAACGTGAAATTTAAATATTTACAAATGCAAGCGTATCAATGAAGTCACTTCTTAATAAAAGCAACATATTTTTAATAATTAAACTTTTAATCACTTCTTGCATAAACAAAAAGCTAAAATTTGTTTATTAAAATATGAAAATTTATGCAAGGAAAATTTATAAATAATAATAATAATAATAATAGATTAATCAAGACATTCCAATAATGTTTTGATTAGATATCTACCGTCAAATTTTCTTTTATTTCGTCGAGAAAAAGAGAGAAAAAAAAAATTCAAAGTTTTAATAAAGTTTACCGTTAAGTAACCCTCTATTGATGATACACATTAATTAACTGGCATCGGAGGAGGAGGAAGAAAAGGAGGAGGAGGAGAGAGAAAAAGATTTAAATGGATGAAGATTGATTTATTAAAACAAATTGTGATGCATCAACAAAGCGACAATCAATTTTAAACGTGATTTATTTTCTTATCTTTGTTTTATGTACGTGTGTATGCTTACTAATCACCTTAAATCAATCCGAGAACGTGATGGTTATTAAGGAGAAAGGTTGGATGATATCATATATTCTATTCGTTCCGACTCGCATGTTATGTAGGACTAAACTTTTAACTATTTAACGCTTGATGTTTACACTTTCCTGATTGTCCAAGTATGTCGGCTACGCTTCCTTTCCTAAATATCTGTTAAAACCTTTGTTCCATTTCTTGAATTTCTAAACTCGTATGCCCGGTTAAATGTTTCCTTATTAAAGATACATCCCCCCCAAAAAAAACGGGATTTTTCTCCAGGAAATTTACTAAATGACGGATTGATTTCTTGTAAAATTCACTTATAAAAATCAATTTTTATACAGGGTAATTAATTATCTTAATGTTCTGTAGCTATGTGTATATTTGGCAGACCGCTAGACTACGTGCAGGATCCGATGATATAACTTGTGGTTTGTAAAAATATGTTATCTTTGGTCAGAAACACGTAAAGAGACATTGAAGTCACCTTGATGTTCATTTGCCAGTAGATCAGTAGGCATTCCGTAGGAGGGCAATTTTTTTTCTCGTGCCAAGACTAGATTTAGAACGGGGGTCGGAAACCTGTCTGCTAAGGACAGACGATGAGCTGTTATAAAGGTTAGCGCCCTCGACTGTAACTAGAGTTGAGAGAGAAAGAGAAGAAAAAAAAAATCATTTCTGACGTCATTTTTGCTAAAGTAGAGGTGTGGTCGAATTTGCTTCCTCATTCTCACACTCGTATTAAATCCTCTCTCNATATTAATTTTAATAAAATATTAAAGTTACTAGCAAGTAGACATTTTATTCGATTGGAGAAGAGGAGGGGGAAGGTGTATAAACTCACTTATTATACGTATAATTAATAGAATGAAGGATATATATAAAAGTTTATGTTAAAAGAGATGAAAAATATGTTTTAGGAAGTGCTACAAAGTTAGTGGCACGCGTTATAAACAGGTAAAGCGTAGAGCGGGTCTCGATTGTAAAACGTTAAGGCGGGGGTGGATGTGTCAAAAGATCGGTCTACGACCTTATACGGCGTAAAGATGCCACCTATATGAATGATTTCTTTAACTGATTTAATCGAACGTCGAAGAATCCGGAACCTGGAAATCGTGCGAACATTACGACTTCCTACTTTCCCGACTATCGATTTCCGGCCGATTTCTACGGAAATAATTGAAGGACAACCGAGCCGATCATACCGATTTAACTAATGACGGATGGGATTAACCGCGCACACAGCATAATTTAAGGCGGACATTCAACTTCTAACTCTATAGCGGAATCCATAATCAAAGTATCGATTTTTCCAGTAGAGAACAATGAACGGATCGAAGTACTTAACGACTTTCGATTGTAAATCGATATTAAACAACTTAATTGTGTGTTGTAAGTAAACGGGAAATCTATCCGAAATTTCGGTTTTTCGAATCTCTACAAAACCGTTCCATATTACTTTTTTCTTTATAAGAAAACCGGGCAAAATGGTGAAGTTATTTATTTTTCATAAATTGTAAGAAGTTTAATGATATGTAAAAACCTCCCGCCACCGCTGGTCATATCTCAATGGGATCTCTTTAATAGCTACGTCTAGCAATAAATGTATGACCTCACAATATTTTAGAAGCATCCTTTTTCTCTTACGGTCATTTATTATAAGCAGGCAGGCAACGAACTCATTCTTCCTTCCCCCTTCTGTTTCTTAGAATATATCTTATTTCTCTCTGCAGACTGAACCTTCGACAGAACAAGATGTTAACCTTCTCCATCGTTATTAATTATGTTAATAATGAATGAATGATTTAAAATTAACATTTGGACAATTCGGGTATTTCGAATCTTTCACTTTCGCTATTGAAATAAAGGATGTAACAATGAATAGAATGGTTTAATTGTACGAAAAGAATTGTCCTTTCGGGGTTTAGACAAATCCGAATTTCCTCGTTTATTTATTTATTTAATTTATTATTTTTTTACAGTTAACAGAGCGTGTTAATTGCCATTCATTCGGAATGAAATTTTATTATTCATCCACAAAAATCTTGTTTTCTTCGTCGAAGGACGATCAGCTACCGTTTACTGTGTCATGG